GCCAGCCAAGTCAGCAGGATTAGCAGATCCTGTCAGACAGGGTGCACCCTGCTCCGTCTCTGGATAACCTCAGGCTGCAGCAGAAGTTCAGGGCTGTTCACAGCAGCTCTGGGGTGGGAAGTGACAGCCATCTCCTGACAGTGCTGGGAAGGAAGCACAGGGGAGGAAGGTCCAGCCAGGGCTCTGCCAGCTGCCCCAGCTGCAGCCCCAACAGCAGGGAGGTGACAGGAACACCACGACAAACCATGGGCAGAAAGAGAAGAGTTGTTCCAAAATATCTGCACAGAGGTGGCTGCTGGATCTGCACCTGCAATGCCCTGAAAGCCTGCATAGCCTGGAGGGGAATCTCCAAAGGGGGCAGTTAGAGAGGTACCAGCAAGACAAGGTCCTGGGGCCAAGAGATGAGAGCACGGCTGACTGTGCTGGAGATGACTAAGAGTCATGGGAACGTGGAGAGCTCTTGGTTTTGGCCAGGAGGATGGCTGGAGAGCGTGAGGGAGTCCAGGGAGAAGGAATGGCAGCTTTTGGCCAAAGAACGTTTCCCCTCAGCAGTTTTTCCTGGCAGGATTCAGGGAAGAAGAACATGAATTAGAGGCAGAAGGATGCTCTGTGGGGCTCCTGCCCAGAGCTGGGGGGCTGTCAAGCAGCTGGGCCACAGGAGATGTCTGCTTGATTATTCTTTCCTCCTTTCAAGCCAAAGGGGTTTTTTAAAGGATGTTTGTTTCCCTCCTTCTTCTTTTTAAGTTTTTTTTTTTTTCTTTTTTTTTTTTTTTTCCAGGAACAAATGCCAGCTCAAAGAGAACTGACTCACCAATGTGAATAAGTATTAAACCAGACAGGTTCAACAGAGAGAAGGGAAACAATCTCTCAGCCTTCCTTCCTCTCTTTGAGGGGGCCCCTTGCAGAGCATCTCTGATGGCAGTGATCCCCAGGTGACAGCCTGGACACATGGGTCCCCAGCCTGAGCTGAGCACACCTGGGGGTGCTCACTGGGACAAACTTGGGGTTCCTCCCTCCTTTGTGTCCCTCTCTTCCTCCTGCAGGTTGCACCCCAAATCTTATGTGCAAGCAGCAGCTCAGCCACAGGAGTGCAGGTGGAACTCATGTGCCCAGGCAGCTCTGAGCACAGGCCAGGGATGCTCTCAGAGAAGCTGCAACCTTACTTTGAACAACTTGAAGCCCAGGAATATCTGTGGTGGCCCTGGTGGTTGTGAAAGATGGGATGAAAGTTGCTCATTGCCTGGTAGACTGGCTGGGGAAGGGGGAATGGAGGCTGCTGTGAGTCCTGCTTGGGAGCACTGGGAGTTCAGGCTTCTTTCCCAGGCTGGGAACCCTAAGGGAGCCCAGCACTGAGCACATCTGGCCATGGTGCCATGCTGCCCTGCCTGCCTGAACTGCCCTGCAGCAGTTTGGGGACACACGTGGATCACCTGTGTCCTGTTGGTACTCAGCTGCTGTCACAGCTACAGGGTTTGTCACTGCAGTGTCTCTGCTTTTCTCAGCTCTCCCATGGGGTGTCTGTCTCATCACTGGAGAGGAGACTTGTTTTGGGGTGGGGGAAATGCCCTGCTGGGGGCCCACTCATTGTTGGCCTGCTCATTTCCAGCCTCATCACCCCTCTCCAGCACATCCTGACATGCAAAAGTTCTGCCTAGGTGGGGATCAGTGGGAGCCTGCAGTGTTCAGGGCTGAGGTCTGTCAGTTCCCCCTCTCTGCTTCCCCCCAAAGCTTTTGCAGCCTCTCTGGACAAAAGGGGATTTCTTTTTCTCCCTGCTGATTCAGCTCCTGGAGAAAAATGCCCTGACTGAGCTGTGCCAGGTGACTCAGAGCATATCTGGGGACAATCAGCCTGAGCTGGTCAGGGACACTGCAAACCTCCATTCTGGAAAAATGAGCAAAGGCAGGAACCCAGGACAGGCCGTGCTGGAAAGAAAAGCCTTGCTGGAACTTGGACCTGCTTGTGCTGCACTCCATGCCTTGGACCTTTGGGTACACAGGGAGTTTCCAGGAGCTGAAGGAGGCACGACTGTTGCCAGTGGAGGCTGCATCATGTAGCCAGAAAAAGGGTCAGCACTGATATGTTTGAACCAAAAGCTTCCCTTTGCAGCAACCCTGGGCTTTCCAAGCCCATGGCTCAGAGCAGATGCAACCATCCCTGCTCTGCAGCTTGATATGAATTTTGGAGGAGCAATTAAATTTGAGCTAGAGAGAGGAGAAAACTTTGGGCAAGGCTCACGAGGTGCCTGTCTGACGTGGCTGGGTGACTTCAGTGCTCTGGAAAAGTGGCTGGGGAGAGATGATAGGAGCAGAGTGACATGTGGATTTGAGGGAGTGGTGGTGTGGGGAGCCAGGATTTTGGAGTTGCATCTTTTGAGGGTATCAGCAAATTCCTTATCCTAGAGGGAAGGGAGGAGATCTGGCCATGGGATGCCCTGTGTGCTGCAGTGTGGCTCCTGCTGGTACCCTGCCCTATTGCTGTCTCCAGGCCCTCCCACTGCCCTGAGCTATTAAACTATGTGGCAAAATCAGTGCTGTGGTATCTGCAGTCTCCTTCAGGCCAGCCACTGTTCAGTTTGTCATTTCTCCTGCATCCTCACCCTGATCTGAGCACAGACCCAACAGTGCTCCAAGGAGCCAAGTCCTTAGCTGGGACTGCTGGCCCAAACCCCAGGCAGTTGGGATATACATGAGAAGCATTCCTGGTATCCTTCCCTCTACCCACCTGCCACATGACCCACCAGCTGCAGAGTTACCAGAGAGATGGGGCAGATCCTGCCCCTTTTCCTTACCCTGTCTCTGGGCTCGGCTGCTCCTTGCAGTGCTTCTCCCTGCCTGGCTCCCAGCTTGGCTCTCACTAAGCACTGGGGTCATGCACAGTGTATTAACATGCTTAGCCCTCACCCACCACAGGGTTAAGCTGTATTCCCAGCCCCATCTGAGCGAGAGCAACCAAAAGCAGGCAAATAAAGGAAGAGATGGGACTTTGCAAAATGAAAAACTCCTTTATTTTTAAACTCTTTCTTTAAAAACATATTTGTAAAAGTTTACAGCATAAAAATAATATCTCATGGCTATAAATGTGACATAGTACAAATCCTACAAATACAACTGTAAACCTAGAAAAATGTTAACTCTTTGGTACCTTAGTCTGAACTCTGTTTTTTCCTTCACCCTCATACTGATTTTGACAGAGAGCATGGAGATAGGTGCTGCTGCTGCTGTTCAGAAAGGCTGCAGAGGAACAGTGTGATGCCAGCACAGCAGGATGGGGAGAGGGCACACTTTGGGCAAGATCTGTAGTTCTGGTTGCAATCAGTACATGAAGGAGGAAAGAAGAGGAATGATGGGACACTGCAGGCCTCCCAGCACAAGCTGGTTTCCCTGCCTCCTCCCACCCCAGGCAAGAGTCATCTCTCCAAAAGGCTGCTGGAGCACTTCCCCCACCTTTGCCAAAGCCAACTAGATCCACCTTGGCATTTCCCAGAGGCCTCAGGTCTCCGGGTGAAACATGGGAACAATGCTGGTAGCCCAGCAACCCGTGTGAACCCTATGAAAACTTATTCTTAGCAATATCTGGCCTGCTTTGGGCAAGTCCTGCAGATGACATGCTGCCTCCACTGTTACAGTCAGCACTGGCCACTCAGCATCCAGGCAGGGCCGGGATCTGCTGCAGGAATGACCTTTGTGGCCCTGGAGCTGCCCAGTGCTCAGGGAGAACCTGCAGCTGCCCTGGCTGCTCTCTGCCTGGGCAACCACCTGAGGCAAAGGATGCCAAAAGGTTACTGAGAGCCACCTAAGGGCAACCTTTGTGTTCTCCAAGTGGGAGCACAACCAGGCTGCTTCCAGCCTGGAACCTGATCTAAGCACTGAGCCCAAGCAGGGCTCTTTCTTGCACTTGTGCGTTGGAACAGGAGGTTTGTCTCCTTAGCACTCTGTGAAATCCCCTTCTCCAGATCTGCCAGCTTTGCACAGACCTTGGGCTTCCTCACAGGCAAACCCTAAGTGCTCTGTGCCCTTTATTTGTGGTGCTGCCTCTCCCTCAGCCCAGAGCCCTGACTGGGAAGAAAGAGAAGAGCTGCTTCTCACTTCTGGCTGACTTCCCCTGGCTGCACATCTGCACTGCACTTCTGCCCCCCATCCCCGTGGGACCCTGTCACAGTCCCCTTGGCAGGTGAACAGAGACAATTTAGTTACAAGTAAAGTCCACTGTGCTCTAGATTTCTTAACACAACACAAACAAACACTGAACGTGACACTCGCGCTTAGAAAATAACACACTCAAACTGAGAAGGACAAAAGGATTAAAACCTGTGCACACATCAGTCTGAGGAACACCTTAAATGTGGAAAGAGACACCAGAGTGCTGCATTAGTTTCTGGGATACATGTATGAAATAGTGACTGGCAGTAGGATTATGCATATACTGGTTCTGATAACAATGTAAGAGCCGTAGAGTAAAATATAATCTACAAATAAAAAGATATTGCACTAGAGATGGGCCCAAGCTGTGGCATGTGCCCCTTCATGGTGGGGGGGCTCAGTTTGGGTCCACCTCTAAACACAAAAACACACCCAAACAAAAATACTGATCGTCAAAACAGAAACCCCAGTGGGACCAGCTCCCTTCAGAGTCTCACTGGAGAAATTATGGCTACAAAACTGATGGGCCCAGAACAGCCAAACATTTCTCCTGGCTCTCACCTGCCCATGCAGGGACTGGAACGCAGGCAGCAGAGAGAGAGGGAGTGTGGGGCTGGATCTGTCATTCCCAGCTCTGCCAAGCCCTCTCTTTGAGGGACATTTAGCAAAATATGTTGGCTTTGTCCAGCTGCCAGCTTTTCCCTGGCTGAGAAGGTCTGGTCACTGCAACTTGCTAAAGGTGCTGTGAGAGGTTGAGTAAGGACAGGAAAATACCACGAAGTGCAAGACTCAGCCCTGAAAATCACAGAGCCAAGGGCAAGTATTTGGTCATATTCCTCTGGAGTGCAGAAATGTACCATTTTGCAAAGAGTCTGGCGTACCTACTATAAAAAGGAATAGGGAGGTGGGGGTAGCATCCCATCAGCAGGCAGAACATATTTTGTTGAAATAATAATTGCAGTGAATCTACAAATAGGACAAAATGCAATAGGCATTCAAATGTAGCTAATGCCCAGCTAATAGGACAGGATACCTGAGCTCCCCCAGCAGGGAGACCTCCCCTTTCAGGACCATGGAAACTATTTGATGGTGGGAAATTAGTAATTTAATTAGCAATTAAATCTGTACAAGATGAAGTACAGAACAGGATTTTTGAAATAAGCAAATTGCCAAAGTGAAAGTGAGAAGGTGCTAATTGATGAGGAAATCTTTGGGCTGGATGGAGGTAGTAAAAGTAGCTCTCTCAGATTGTCCTTGTTGCTAGAAGTATCTAATATTTTTATTAGTCAGTCCAGCCCAAAAAAAACTGTTAACAAAATCTGCTGATGACCCAATGTCTGGAACAGCAGGGAGTAGCCTGGTTAGAAATGCTGGAAGTGTAGAAAGACGTAGGTGCCTAGATTGGTCAGAGGATGACTCTGAGCTCTCAGTATGTTGTGGCTGGGAAAAAGCCAATATTATCCAAAGCTACACCAGGCAAGTTGAGACCAGCACAGGCCAGAACTATTAATTCCCTGTATGAGGGCTAGGTTGGACCTCACCTGGAGTACTGGGTGCTTCTGGTCACCTTTGATAGAGAAGGATGACTTAAAAATGGAACTGGTGCAGACAGGGGCTATTAGGATACTCTGATGTGCCATCCTATGGGCTCAAGTTGCAGTGACACAGATCCTTACCAAGCACCTTACATGTTAAAAAAAAATAATCAAGTGATCTGACCCAAAGGATCTCATAAATTATTGCTTCTCTGCAGTGAGAATCATTTAATGAACTGTGGCCACAGGACATGCTCCTTCATTACAAGCAGGAGGAACAGAGGATGGAAAAACAGTTGTCATTCACAGTATGTTTCCTATGGATGGTGGGGAATCTGACCACATAGGCTGAAAATATCCTCTGCTGGCTGCCAATAAAAGTGCTATTTCTTATGTTCACATTTTACCAAGGACATCAGCCCACAAAACACCTACTCCTCCTTTAGCTGCACTGGAATGGTAGAAAACTTGAAACAGAAGCTGTTTTGCTGGAGATTGCTGGCAGAAGTTCCATATTTTGAAAAAGAAAAAGAAATTCTCAGTGGCTTTGAAGTGGCAGAAGCCCAGCAAGATGCTGACTGAATTTCTGATTTTGTAAACCTGCCTGTGCAGCTCCTGTAAGATGCACAGAGAGATGGGCATGAGTAGGGCAATGAAGAGTTAATGAGAGCAGGGGACATGGAGAGAACAGAGCTCTGTGTGAAGTGAAACTCATTTCAGAGAAAAACCTGCTGTCTTCTGTGGTGTCAGACCTGTGGTTTTGGGGGTCCAGCTTTCCTGCAGAGGTGGGGTTCACAACTGATTTCCAACGCCTGTTGTTCCTCCTGCTTTGAGTCTGCTCATTCAAGTGCCAGCTGAGAGCAAAAGTAGCCCCTGACCCATCTGTGAGAAGTGGGGAAGGTGAGAAGCAGGGGGAAGGTCTGTGCCTGCTTAATTTTCAAAACACTCTCCAAGAGAGAGGAATCCTCCCCGATTCCTCTTACCCTGCTTGGTTCCCTGTGACATTTCACAGCCCTGGCAAGCTACAAGTGGCTCTGCCTGACCCCAGAAGGTGGCAGGGTGTAAGATACAGTCCAGCTGTGACCAAGGAGCTTCCCAGACTCCCTCTCTTTCTTTGGTGCTATCCCTGGGTTGGTGTTCTGGCATCCTTATTTCTGCCCATAATCTTGCTGTGACTCAGGAGGGAATGATGAGTCCTCCCATCCAGAGGAAGGGTGTTTGGGTGAACAGTTTATCAAAGGTGAGCCTTTTCTTCCCAAAGACAAGGCACAAGGATTCTGCAGCTGGCGTGGTTATATGATTTCCCAGCAGATGAGCTGGGTGTAGTGGCAGTAGATTAATGAATAACCATATTGCTTCCTTATACTGGCCCTGGCTAGTGTATTAATATATTTGTTCCCTTTAAATCTTCAATGGAGAATAATTAGCTTAGTGTCCACACAGACAACACGAACAACAGTGACTGCCCTCTTTGCTTCTATAACCAAGTCATTGTGAGGGCATTTGGAGCTCCTGCCATGTCCTAAGGGCTCCTGGTGCCATGCTGGGCACAAAAGGGTGTGACAGCCTCCAGGTGAATGCAGAGCTGTGCCCCAGAGCTGTGAGTACCTGTAGTGCTTGTGATGCTCTATCCACCACAGAAGAGCTGTCAAGTGAGGAAAATGGTAACTCCATACCTCCCAGACACTGGCTGGCCTCTTCAGGACTTGACTGTGCTTGGGGGAGAATCCAATGTACTCCTGACCTCCAGCAGCTGAAGGTCAGTGTTACAGGTTCTCTACACCCCAGCAATGGGCTCCAGGTGGATTTTCTATCCCAGTGGTATTTCACAGAACCACGGTGTGGCTGCTGCTGAGACCATCAGGGAAGTGCTGGTGCAAAGGAGACGAAACTCCTTGCCATGGAGGAGGAAGAGGCTGGAGTATCATCTTAGCAATGCAGGAAGTGGCGTCTTGTGGAGATCCAACACATGTCTTCCACTTGAGAAGATGTTGGTCTGTGAGATGTCTCCCTCCTGCAGTGGTTTGATCACTGAGGAGGATGTGGCAGTGATATTGAGGGTTTCTGGCACTGAGCCACCTCTTTTTTAAGGGGGAAGGGAATGGCAATGGGAAAAAGTCCTCAATTCCCCACCCAGCACTGGGAGGCAGGAGGGAAGGAGGACTGCTGGGACAGGAGGGGATGTCCTGATGTACAAGCGCAATCATGTCTCTCTGTGACATCTGGGTCAGCCCCTCAGCTGGCCTCTCCATGAGGAGATGCAAAGTCATCCCAGCTGTGACTACAGGAAACTCTCCTCCACCTCTTGGTGTGCTGTGGTTGGCTCCTGGCAGCCTGGTTGTGGGTCGGATTCCTGCTCCTCGTCCTCCCGGAGGCCCAGAGGGCTGTCACAGGATATTGTAGATGACGTGTTGGCCTCGTTCAGCACAGAGCTGAAGGGAGACAAGAGGGAGAGAGAAATGAGTGTCTTGTCCCAGGCCTCCTGGTGGGAGAGGATTCCCAGAAACTGAGAAGTGTGTTGAGTTCCCAGGAGCCCCACTCTATCTGAGTAGCTTCCCACAGTGGAACAGACCATATCAGACCATATGAAGGGTCTACTCAGCCTTCAAACACAACACACAGCTGGCTGGGCTCTACAGAACGTGGCTCCCTGTGTGTGAGGTTGCTTGTCCTCAGCTGTGCAGGCTGATGTGCAGGGATGTGACGTTGTGCCCTATCTTAGCTCATGTCCCAGCTCCTCTGGTTCATCTCCATCCCTGTGGGCTCATGCAGGTCACAGCACCTCAGATGGGGTGACACTGCCCTCCTTCTCTCCCAGTATATCCACCCCTAGTCTGTGCCTCAACAGAGCATCCCATTTCCTCTTGAGGTCCCTGTTTCAGACTTGGACAGTTGGGGGAAAGGCCAACACTCAGAAGCAATGTTTTTACCTGGCCCGGCTGAGGGAGGCCTCCTGAGGGAGGTCACAGTTTGCCTCAGGTTTGGGGTCAGGAAGAGGGATGATATAATCGTTCTCTCCCCCATTCTGGTGCACGGCTGTGTAGAGGATGCTGCTGCTGGGGGAGCTGGCAGCAGGGCGGGCGTTGTTCAGAACAGGAATGGTGGGTCTTGTGCGGACAACTGCGGGGTGGTCACTCTTCATGAACTCTTCATCCACCTGCTGGTACCTCTGCTCCCACAGGGCAGGTTACCAAAGAAAGGGAAGGTCTGGTGAGTGGGGAGAATGTAATTGAGTCATGTTTCCTTTTCCTGCCTGCCAGGGTTTTCCTTGAGGGGCTGGCATATTCTAGCTGGGTCCAGCTGCCCTTACCCCAATAAAGATAGGCCATGAAACTTTCATCAGGGAGAGATCAGTGGCACAACTGCACAGCTCCAAAATCCCAAACAGTTGGAGGCAGGATTTTGATCTCCTGCCAGCTCTGATTTCCACAGTTGCTGAGTTACCAGCTGCCTGTCTGGCAAGGCAGTTGTCTCGGCAACGTTCCTGGGGTGCCCAAACCACCTTCACTGGCTGCTCCAACTAACGCAGCCTTGGTCACAGCAGAATCCTCTGGCACAGCAGCACTAAACATGGTCTCCAAACCCTCACTGGGGGCCCTCACCAAGGCACTGACCCTCTTCTGCCCTCCAGCACAGGGTTTTCTGGATGTACCTTTCTGTAGCAATCCACCAGGAGGCTTCCCATAAGCACCACAAGCTGTGAGAAGGATGGCCTGATCTCAAACTTCTCCTCCCAGCACTTCTGCATGATGTTGTAGCTGCCAAGAGGGAAGGGAGAGGACTGAGTTAGCAGGTGAGGAAAACAGGTAGAAATGCTTCTGTGGTGTGTAGAGCACATCCAGGGTGAGCACATGTTGACAGCACTCACATTTCATCAGAGGCATGGGTGGGTTTGGACATCCGATAGCCACGTTTGATGGCGTTGTAGAACTGCTCATTCATAGGCAGCTCAGGGTATGGAGTCCCTCCTGGGGGTAAATGGAGAGCAGGAATTAGGCTGCAGGATTGCCTACCATCCCTCCAGCCAACATGCACTTCACACCAAGGTTTTCTTGTTGCTTTACCTTCCATCTCACTTCCAAATGCAACGTGAGCATGGGGAAGAAGGAGAGAGGGAATGAAGTGCTACTCTGACTGGTAAAGTAGGGACTTGAAGGTTAGAAATGCATTTTTATTGTTTTTGAAGGGGTCCAGCTAACATGTTATCAGAACTACAGACACCACCATGATCTCCAGGGCACTTACCTAGAGTGAATATCTCCCAAAGAAGAATCCCAAAAGACCACACATCACTGAGGGTGGTGTAGAGGTTGTTGAAGATGCTCTCTGGAGCCATCCACTTAAGGGGCAAAAAAGTCTAAGAAAGAATCAAAAATGAAACAAGAAGAGAGTCAGCTGTAACCACAGCACTTGTTTCAAGATTAGAGCTTGACACCCAAATTACAAACAAAGAAGACTCTTCAGATCTGTTGGTGAGTCCAACACATCTGCTGACATCTGCTGTCAGTCGGTTCTGGGAGGGACCAGAACCTCTTTCTTTGTGCAGAAGAGACCCAGTAGGCAGGAGGAAAGAATGGATGTGCTGTATCCATTTCCATCACAGCCTGCTATGATGAATGCACACATATCCCAGTGTGTGTTCTCTGTTCTCTCGCTCTTGAGAAGGCCACTGACCAAAGACTCTTGAAGAGAGTACAGGCCTATCTGAATTTGGAAACCTGAGACCAGGCTGGAGAAGGCTAGGAGATGACCAGAAAAGAGCCAAAGGATACATCCAGCTTCTTTTCTGTTCTTACTCACGCAGAGTAATATAAAAGAAAGCCTCACTTGAGCAGCTTGTAGGCAGCACTGGCTGTGATGCTTCTGGGATTTGCTTGCACAATGAATACCAAAATAATCTCCAGGAAGGATTGCAACGGGGCTCAGTTTCATTTCCCATTTTGGACAGGAAACCAGCTATGTCAAGGCTGGACTAAAAACCCCAACCCCTCTGGGAGAGGGTCCCCCTGACCAAGCTCTGAGTACCTGCTTGAGAGCACATGGGAGAAAGCATGAGAGAAGTTAAGTAGTTTGCAGATTAGATAAAGATTGTGGTTTAAGGCACCTATCTCTATTCTCACCTCCCCCAGCCTCAGTTTCTCTGGGAATTACATGGCCTGCTTTGCTTGGGATTGGAGATTCACAAATGCCTCAGGGCTGGAGTGGATAGGTTGTTGTTGAAATCACAGGGAAATGCTTTCTGGCAAAGCTCAATTACAGCCTTATCCTCTCCTGCCTTGAAAGATTGGAGACATCTCTCTGGAAAGAAGCTGCTTGCAAGAAGACACTTCTTCTTAACTTGTGGTCTAGTGGTTAGAGTGGAATCCTGTGAATCTCTTCCCAGAGTGGCCAGTGAGTCACTACAGCCCTACCAAGCTGCCCAACCTTGCCCTCCTCCTTCCTGAAGCTCAGGAACACACTCAGTGCTGGCACGATGCAGCACTGCTGCCATGACTGGGACAATGTACAAGGGATAATCCTGAGTTTTGCTACTGCTCAGATTCTTCTGTAAAGAGCCAGGAGATGTGGGCATGCAATTCTGCCACTTCAGTGTGCAGAGCAAATGAAGTGAAGGATGGTTGGCTGTTGATGTCATCTCCTGGGAGTCCTGCCCTGTCACCACCTCTGGGCACACTGATGGACAGGTGGCTCACAGGGGGACTATGTAGGGGGTGCCAGGCCCAGAGCCCTGGGAGGAAGGAGCTTGCAAGGCTCCTGGTACTCACACTGCCTTTGGAGATATAGTTGGAATCCCTCATGATGTCCCTCGCCAGGCCAAAGTCACAGATCTTCACCAGCTTCCCCTCACAGATGAGGACATTCCTGGCGGCCAGGTCACGGTGCACACACTGCAGGGGGACACAGAGCACTGTCACTGCCAGGGGCTCCAGGTGTCTCCTTCACCTCTAGGGACAATCTTGGCTCAACCACTAGCAGAGCTACCACATTTTTGCTGAGTCCTGGGGTGCTCAGAGCATGCAGTGCAATAAGGGTGTCTAGGAAGAGTAGTTGCTCTGCTGCAGGGTGCCTTGAGCTTTAGCTCCCTGTACACTGTTCGGTCATCCCAGTAAATAGGGATGAGATAATGCCACAGCTGTGCTGAACAAGGCTCAGGAGGAGCACAGAGTCAGGAATTTGAGGTCTGAAGCTCAGTGTGAGCCAGAGTTAGCTGTCACATGCAAATATAGTCACACTGATCTCCAGGACTGTGTTTCCAAAGGGAAGTGGTCAGCGGCTCCTCAATTGCAGGGCCACTTATCCCACAAGGAGTTTGGCACGGACAGAGGGGCAGTGGGAGGAAGCTGACCACAGGACATGGCAGAAAACTCACTGCTGGCCACCACCACTACACACTCCACAGACCAGGCAGCATACGTACATTTTTGGAAGCCAGGAACTCCATCCCATTGGCCACCTGGAAGCTGAAGCCCACCAAGTCCATGTAGCTGAGGAGTGGAGACTCGTTTATCAGCGTCACCCGGTCTGTCCTTTCAGGAGCTGGAGGGCAAGCAGAGATGGATGTTGGTGTTACCCAGCATGCTGGGGAGCCTCCCACTAGTGGAAGGACACACTGGGGAATGCTCTGCCTCCAGCAACAAAGGGACAGAGCCGGGAGCTCTCACTGTGAGGACATCTCCCACTGCTGCTGGACGAGTCCCAGAAGTGATTTTGCAAGCAAAGGCATCCAGCACCCAAAGCAGCTCTCCCTCCTGCTGTGGCCAAGCTGTTACCTGAGGGGGAGTAGCTGTCCAGCTCATAGGGGGTGCCATAGTTAGAGGACTCGATGTCAGCGTACTTGACTTCACCCTTCATGTCAGACATGGGCACATAGTCCAGGGAGTCATCCTTGCTCATGTCCATGTAGCCACCGTCACTCTCGACAGACATGGAGAGGTGGCTGTGGGGGGAAGCAAAGAGGCTGCCCAGATCCAGAGGAGAGAGAGGAGAGGAGAAGACATGAGGGCTGGGGGCAATGATTTGTGAATCTGAAATTCCCAGTCCCTCAGCCCCAGCACTGAAATGTTCCACACAGCCAGGAAAGAAGCCCTGCATCATGGGTGAAGTGGTGTGCAAATGGTGCTTAGGAAGATCTCAGCTGCCTTCAGGCAAAAAGGGCGGGGGGGAGAGCTGTAACACTGCTCTATTTTACTATTGTTTTGGTGTGTTGGAAGGAAACACTGCTTTCTAACTTCCCTGGGGACCATTTCTCTTGTGCTGCTGTGCCTGCATCCCTTACAGCTGGCAACCAGATAAAGGACCATTTCCCTTTCCTTGTAGCACTTCTCCCTGAGGCTCGGTAGCAACTCAACCTGCCCTGGAAATGCAGAGCTGAGATCTCCAGTGGTTAAGACACACTGGAAAACCCTGTGTCTCTGTACTCAGTGTGTGGCTGTGGTTATGCTAATAAAATTAAGGATGCCAGGAAATATTCTCAACTGGCATGGAGAAGCTGGCATGTGTGCTGGCAAACTCAGGCTCCAGGACACAGAGTTTGCTAACTCCTCACTGCCAGGAGCTGCTTGAAGGTCACTGGTTGGCACATGGGCTGGTCTAACAAGGCAACACAGGATCCAGCTGTGCCCCAGTGCTGGGCCAGTGCTTATTTCACAGTTCTAAAAATGCAGGATCCTTCCTGGGAGTACCAGCCTCCCTCCCTGCTGGGGCTAGGATGGGGTAGGCAGGGAGGAGGAGAGAGCTGCTTTCCTGGTACCTGTGCACATGGTCCTCCTTGGGGGTGTTCCCGTAGAGCTCTGCCTCTCGCCGTGCCTTCTCCCCGCAGGACTGCAGGAAGGTGTGCTTGTTGCGGTGCAGGTAATCCACCAGGTCCCCGTAGCGGCAGTACTCGGTGATGATGTAGATGGGTCCTGGTGGGACAGAACACCTGCATCAGCCCTGCCCTGGCCACTGTGGCTGTAAATTTCACAAGGGTATTACCAGACAACAGGCTGTCTAGGCAGGGCCAAAGGGAAGAGCCACCTTTCTGGTACTGAGCATTTTTTGGCATTTGAAATTTGTGTTTGTGGAGGGAGGTGACACAGACACGTGCCTTCCCAGTTTCAATCAGGTTGGAAGAAAGGTGTTCAGTGTCCCACAAGGCTTTCTCAGGAGAAGGCTGAATCATTTGGAACTGGAGAACAGGAATTATTCTATCTAAGGACAGTTGTCCTCCTAAGCACAGCCCAGGGATGCAGAAAGAGGAGACAAGGTGCTCAGGGCTCAACTACCTCCTTTGGTGCAGGCCCCCAGCAAGTTGACGATGTTGAGGTGAGGTCCCAGGTGGCTCATGATCTTCAGCTCGGACATGAGGGCTTGCTTCTCACTACTGCGGGCTGTGGCTGTTGGGGAGAGCCGGTGTGAGCAGCAGGGCAAGGAGAGGAGAGCGTGGCACTGATTGATCTTGTGGCTTTAGGGTGGGAAAAGGGGCAGAACTTACACTTGAGCATTTTGACTGCCACTTTCATGGTAGACCGTGAATGGCTCAGGCCATGGGCTGTTGCCTCCACCACACGACCAAATGCACCGGAGCCGAGAGTGCGTCCTGCAAAGAAACAGCCAGGAGACAAAGTTGGCAGTGATCTAGAGGAGAGGTGAGGAGCCTGGAAAATACAAACTGCTTGTCTGAAACCACACCAGCCTTGCTGCAGTCATTGTGCTGGGCGTGGACATGGCCATGAGCTATGATGTTTGGGCTTGGGGCTGGTTTCCAGAACTGCCAGCTACAGGGTGGGATAGCCAGGAACAACACGGTGCTCAATGCCAAAGGGGGCAGCTGGCACCATGGTCCTAGATGATCCCCCCTGTTCCAGGACCACTCCAGAGATCTCTGTGTCACTTCTGGGTTGGTCTCTTTTGGACATCTCAACCCCAAACTTATCACCCCCAGACAGCCAGGACCTCAGGAATCCATCAGTGGCGCCTGCAGAGCCTTTACCTAACACCAGCTTGTCCCTGGGCACCTCCCAGGTGGAGTCATAAGGGAGCTGCATGGGATCCACATAGATGTACTCGTGCCCATCAGAGCTGACTGACTCAATCACCTTCCAGCGGATTTCATAACGAGGTTTCTGGAAAAGGGAGCAGAGGGAAAAGAGACAACTGAGAGGCTGGGAGTCAGAGAGGGTGTGGGGGATGTGTTTGTTAGAGAGCCTTTGGTTCTTACAGCCATTGTCTCATTCCCCATCTACCCCAGAGATGCCAGGGGCATGCAGGAACTGATGGAGGCCCATAGACCCTGATGCAGCTGGGACATCATCAGGCCCAGGCACCCTAACCCTGGGGTACACTGTGACAGCCTGGGAGCACTCTCCTCTTTTACCTTCTGCCACAGCACGATCAGGATGATCAGCGAGATCACAGTGAGGACCAGCAAGGCCAGGATGACAGAAATGATGACCACCTTGAATGGCAAGGCTACAAAGATAACAGAGACAGCAGTCAGACTCCTCCACCCCTCCACAGCCTGAGCAGACAGGGAAAGGAGGTGAGAGCAGTGCAGAGAGGTCCCTGCACTCTCCTCCCCCAGACGTTGACACTGAGCTGTTCTCTGGGTAGGGACAGTCTCCTCCTGGGCAGACTTTCCCAGCACTTACAGAGCCAGCCCCCCAGGGATGATGGGATGATGGGTTGCTACTGGCTTCTGCCTCAGGAGCACTTTGGCTATGGGAGGGTGAAAAGATCTAGAGAGGCTATTTTGCTTGGGGGAGAGCTGGCAGCCCTGGGTCTGAGCTTAGACCATCCTTCCTCATATTTGGGAGATGTTCAGCACATGGATGTTCAAGTCCGTGGCACCATCTAGTGACCCATGGGCTAACAACAAGACACTGGGGACCTGCTCAGGCACTCTTGTCTTGCCTCCCTGGAGAGGTGACCCTGCCAGTAGTGGGAAGAGCATATCCAAGGCCATTGGACATAAGGGCTCCACACTGCAACTGGAACAGTCTTTTCTGTTCAACCCAAAGAAGCTTCATTTGGGGCAGAAGCACCCGGGTTTCCAGGCTGGAGACACAGAAAGGTCAATCTCCCCAATGCTGGCTCAAAACTTGTCTCAGCCCTCACCGTGTGGGACCAGAGTGATGTCCTGGGAGTTGGTGCCCAGGAAGTTCTGCACAGTGCACCTGAGGAGCAGGGGCTCGTGCACCCTGTGCAGCTGCAGGGTGCTGTTGACGCGGTAGAGCTGCCGCTCCGCGTGGTACGAGGCGTTGGTCTGCACGCCGATCTCGGCCGACTCGTTCCCCAGCAGCCGGGTGGGCTGTCCCTTGCTGCTGCACCTGGTCCAGGGGGGATGAAGGCATCTGAGAGGCAGCAGGGACCACATGCCACCAGAATACAATTAAGTAATAGCCTATTATTCTAACAAATAAAAGCCCAGCTGTTCTCATGGCCTCCATCCCTCCACTCACCATTTGATGTCGCTGCAAGTAGACCAGCTGATCTCTGGCTGGGGCATGCCTTCAGCAGAGCATGTTACTGTCTGCTCCCCACTGCTGGCACTGCTGTTCTCCTTGAGATCCACCACTTTAGCTGGCACTGAAACAAAAAGACAGTGATGGGAATTAATCTTTCTTTCTGTCTGCAGGATAGAAGGGGAACATGATTCCTCTGGAGTATGTGAGTCTACTGTACCCCTGCCATAGTCTTGGGATGAGGTAGGACTCATCACGTCCATCGTGTTTTATTTTTGAAAGGGAAAAGCAAAAAGAGTAAAGTTTGAGGGGATTATGGAGGAGATCTACCCCCCTGTAGCTTGACTGGAGAGCAGGGTGAGTGTGGAGGAAAATCCTGGACATCACAGCTGTACAATCATCTCTAACCAACTACTCTGGGTCAAGCTGATGTGTCTGTGCTGCCTCCCTGTCCCCCTTGCTCTGAGGCCAAGTGTGAGGTATTTCACCCAAGTGAGTTTCTTGCTTGAAATCTTTTTCCTTAAGCAAGACCACTCTGGAGCTGCAGCCACAGGAGTAAGGGCTTCATTCTGGGGGTTCTGCAGCAAAGGATGGTGCCACCCCTTGAAGCTGCTCCCACTCTCCTCAGCCATATGTGTGCATGCCCATCCTCACCATTTATCTGCAGATGGAAGGAGAGCTCCTGCTCATCATCATCATTGGAAGCTCGAATGGTGTAAAATCCTCCTTCTTCCTGCTTCACCCGCACCAGCACCAGAGCTGTCTGGTACCTGCGGGAGACACAGTCCCAGATGGGATGTGGGAAGGTACCCAGGGACTGAGTGCTTGGAGGCAACCAGCTCCCACCCACTTGAGGAGTGCTCAAAATCCACTCACAGAAAAGTACTCAGTAATCATCTGTGTCCAACCAGCAATCTGGAGATTCCTTTGTCAGTTACCCCCTCTCTGCACCCTGGGGAGGAATGATGGGCCCGTACCTGGTTTCTGACAGGTTCCTGCTGGTGATGGTGAACTCACTGCTGCTCTCCATGGTCAATGTCTTGTTGTTCTTCAGCCACACAATGCTGGGCTGGGGATAAGCCTCCACTTCCACCAGGATAGTGTGGCTCTTGTGGACCTCAGCATACACCGTGCTGGGCAGGTGGGTGTGGAAGTGCACAAAGCCATGCTCTAAGGCAAGAGAAAGAGGGGGGTCAGAGAGGGGAACAACCTCCTCCCTGGTCCTTTGGATAAACATGGATCTGGAACAAAACTCTTTGAACACAAAGAAGTGGTAAGGCAGCTCCAGATGTATCCCTCAAGACCTCAGGCTTGTCTCTGAGGGCAGTGTGGATACAAAGCCAGACTGGAGCAGAGGAGCTCACAGGACAGAAGCATGTGCCTGTTATCTTATGGAGATAATGGAGATGGGGCAGTTTCCTCAAATTACATGAAAGAAGGTCAGATGCAGACAGAAAACAACATGTCTTCACATCACCTTGGCACTGCACAGTGCAGAGGAACTCTTACCAATACCCTCAAGAGTTTTAAAGGGTCACAAAAGCCATGAAGGGAAATTTGGGATGTTTTGAAGCCAGGAAGCAGGCAGGGGTGAAATGGGGTGAGATTTGGCTCACTGTCATGGTTACTTAGAGCAGAAGTGAGGAGGGTAGAAAGCTGGAGGCTGTGAGAGAGGAGAGGGGGTCACTCTGGGACATCCTGCCTGGACGCCCACGCGGTTTGCTGGCTTTGGGCGTGTGGGCAGCAACGCACCGATCACTTGGACGGTGATGTCCTTCCTGTCCGTTTTCTCATGGTAGCCCTCGGAGACATTGCAGACATAGGTCCCACTGTCCTCCAGCTCTGCGTTCTGGATGATGAGGATGGAGCGGATCTCATGAGTGGATCCAGGCAGGAAGTCAGTCACTGGCTCCACAGCCTTCCCTGCCTGCGAAAAGGGGACACAGAGACATGGTCTGAGGAACCAAAAACGTGTTCTGCCATCGGGCTCACAGGGAGGGGGAAGAAAATGGTAGAAGACTCCAGTCTGGCTGCCTCAGGACAGGGAACATGCACCGATCACAGACAGCCTTAATGCAAGCTTATCCCCATCAAACCTCTCTGCGTGGCTACCCATAACTCTGGCATGGGATATTGATGAGTGATTGCCATGGCACATCTGGGCAAAGGCTGGAGCTGCTGCCCCGAGCCTGTGGGTGTGGAGCACTCACTTGCTTGCGGGGATAGTCCCAGTTGAAGTTGACCAGCTCGTTGCCGCTCACGGTGCACATCACGGTGACGTTTTCTCCCTGGCGCACCATGGTCTGCACTGCACTGATGGAGACATTCACTGATGACACTGTGGAAAGGTGGAAGAAAGGAATGAATTACGAAGGGATAAGTGGACACCCAGTCCATTTACCCTGGGGAGGCTGGTCCACTGGAAACTGTCTTCCCTGAGGGATGGAGCTGACTTGTAGGCAAAACCCATTTTCTAATGGAGACAGGACTAAATCCAGCCTCCAAATTGATCATCACTGAGGAGATGGGAGGAGAGCTTTGGTGTCTCCTGCCACTGGCCTGAAGAAACAGCCACAGCAGATGCACAGGTGTGCTAAAACAATGTCAGCTCACCCTGGATCCTGTAGACATAGAAAGTGTCTGAATCCACCTCCTGGTCATCCACAAATGTCCGGCAGAAATAGGTCTTATCTTCAAAGAAGCCCTTAAATCCCTGTTGTGGATCATATGTAGCTGGGATGGGGTTCTCCACCTTCTTCTCATAGAGGGTGACCTGCATCTGTGGGTTGGTCACACGGCATGGGATCACAGCCTCTGTGTAGCCCGTGATGAAGATGAAGACCTCTTCAGAGGTGACTGCAGGGAGGAAAACCAGGGAGGGATCTGTGGGAGAGAGGGAACATTGGTTAGAGAAAGCTGCTTGGAAGCTTAACCAGGGCTGCTTTGTGCTCCTCCAGTAACTCTCCACCACAGGGCCCTGACTCCATGCTAGTGGGATGCTTCTTCCCACACTTCCCTTGGGAAAGTAGAGCTGCATGTTGTGTGCTCAGCAAATGTCTCCTGGGAGAGACCCAACACCACTGAGCACCTCTGCTCCCCCACCACTTGTCCCAACACACCACACTCTCCATGAGCTGGCACAACAGAGATATGCCACAGCCAGAGACCTACCATGAGGGCTATTGGAGAAGGGATTTGGGGAGGCCAGTTGCTTGGAGACAGAACAATAAGTCAAAGCCCTCTTTTTCCTGGTTGCTAAACCCCATGGAAACCCACAGGCAAGGACATGCTGTCCTACCTGGAACGTAGATGTAGAGGGCTCTCCTCTCCGCTGGCTCTGGAGCCTGCTCAGGGCTGTAGGTGCACGTGTACTCCCCGGTGTGATGGCCTGTCACATTCCTGAGGGTGAGATTGCTGACAAAGACACCATCCCTGTGCTCCAGCGAGGCAGTGAGGCGCTGCCCCTCCCGTTCCCAGACCAGCTCCCTGTCCCCATAGCACAGGAGGGAGAAGGTGCTGTGGAGGCTGAGGACAAGCTCAGTGTCTCTGGGTTCGATGTGCAGCCTCCTGTCCCCAAATGTTACCTCCAGCAGACCTGAGAGAGAAGTGACATGAGACCAAATTGAATTCTTCTGAAATCTACAGAGAAGCACACCTCATGGCAATGTGTTTGCTTTGTAGTGTGAGCCTTTACACGGAAAAATAACTTTCCTGAGTTTGCCTTCCCTAGTGTAATCACCACTGACAAACCCATGGTCTCCTCAAAAATGTCCTGCTAATCGAGACCTTGGTGGGTCACTTTTAATTCCCTGTACCTCCTGCAACCCTTACTGGAGAGCAAATCAGACATCACAGGATTCAGCAGTGTTCAATGCAGCTAATTGCTGTCTGTGGCAATAGTGGGTGGAGAATCCCCAAGGAGAATAGGAGGCAATTCCCTGCTCTTCTGGCTGCCTGTCCACATGTCAGACAGGACACAGACGAAGCTGAAACAATGTCAGTTTACAAGAAAGTGAAAAAGGAATGAAAGCAAAACCTTGCAGGAAATCCATTGGAAGTAATAGAGCAGGCAAGGTCTTCCTGAATGGCTCCCCATGTCTCTCCCAGCTTCCTTGCTTCACCATCTGCCCAGATGTCCCAACGGGGCTGTGACATGCTCCTCTCTGGTGTCCCCACAGGTGGACAGGACAGCTGGGGACAGCTCCAGGGACTTGCACCAGGTGCAGCCAGGAGCCCTGGTGCCTTGCTGTGAGGGGCTGTTGGATATATGGGATCTGACCAAATCCCTCCTGCTGTGGGGTGTCCAGCTAATGTGGGTTCTCAGGTGTCTGCTAAGGAAGGTCTGTGCACACCTGGCACTGCTGCCTGTGGAAAGGTCTCCTCCTCTCACTGTGCTGTGTGTCACCATGAAGCAGGCGGGGACTTTACACCCACCCTGCCACAGGACTGAGCCAGCCCATGGACCTGAGGCATCAGCAGGGATAGATGTGCCTGGAGCACGCTGTGCACCCCAGTGCTTCCCCATGGCACTGCCCCCTTCCTCCCACCTCCCACCCCTGCCCAGCCACAGCACTCACCAGTGAGGATGAGGAGCCACAGACACGTCTTGAGAGTGGGGCACAGCATGCTGGGCTCCGGGCTGGGCGTCTGAGTCCTGTCAAGAGCAAAGTGACATGAGCACAGCACTCAGCAGAGGAGGGATCACTCAGCTGTCCTGGGCAGGGGTCCCTGAGCCCCCACCCAAGCCCTGGCCTCACTTCTCCACCTCAGAAACCTTACATCTCTCCAATTTTCAGCCTTTCCCTCCTGGGGGAGTGGTGCTTTCCCCTCATGTGGGATCTGCAGTTTCTAAGGCTTCTCCCACTGGTAAACAGGGATTTTGCTGGAGGCTCCAGCAGTTGTGTCAACTTTTGCTCATCTCAGCTGGAAATGCCTCTCCCCTCCTTGGCAGAGTCCTGTCTTCCTCCCTCCCTCCCTCTGCTTTACCATTTGCCTTTTTTCCTTAGTTTTTCTACCCTCAGTCACAGTGAGATAAAACTTGCTAGAAAACAGATCCCCTTCAACCCTCCCACATTGTTTGCTCCTTCCAATGAAATAAAAGAAGCCTTGTCACGGCACTTGGTTGCTGGCTGGGGTTTAAACCACAACAAGCCTGAAGAAACTCCACCAAAAATTGAGTTTCTTGGATTTAACTTTAAAATACATAAATTTAAGAGAATATCTAAGAGGTCTTTTTAGTTTAAAACCCTTCTAATCAACATTTCTCAAGAAATCTTTTCCACAAAGCTTTTTCAGGCCTCCCTGGCACAAACCAGAAGCCAAAGGAGATGAGGCCAGAGATCCCTAAGAGCAGGGCTCTGTCTCCTGTGTATTGGGGTGACAGGTACTCCTCCCCATGGTGCCTGCAGGGGTGGGAACGAGTCATTCTGAAAAGCAAAATGAACACACAAAGGGGAAGAGAAAAGGCTTTCTCTGTGCCTGGGCAAAGCCTGGGGGAAATGAATTCCCTGGGGAACTTGGGGATGTTCCTGCATGGAGCTGAACCTCACAGCTCAGCCACGCTGCAACCCAGGGCTGAGCTCCTGCCCTGCCTGGGCCACCTCCCAGGACAGACCCCGAGGAGAAGCCCCCTGTGATGCTGGCAGTGCTCTGGGGAGCTCTTGCCAGGCTCAAGGAGGGCTAGTGGCAATCTGGATTTGCTGACCCGGCCTCTTACTGAGCTCTCTGCTGCCTCTTGGCCCTGGAGCAGCCTCCCGGTCTGCTTGATGTTAAGGAGGAAATGGTTTTTAAATGACGTGCGCTTGTCAGATGTTTTTATTATTCTCTTGCTTTGGCTCAACAGAAGTCTGATCTACCACAAATCCTTCCAGGTCTCCAGCTTATTCAGCAGCGTCCATCTCCCTCCTCCCGAAAAAAAACCTCTATAACTCTTTCTCTCTCTTCGTTTGCCAGAGGGGATAAGAGCACTTTGGGCAAGAGATGGGGGTGGGTAGGATGAAAGGACCGAGGTGAAATTCAGGCTGTAAATGAATGTGACCTCCCTGAACCCACCCTCAGAACACCAAGCTGCAGGAGAGAGAAGGATGGACAATCTAATCTCTGCCCCCCAAGGCACTGCCATGAGAACAATTACCTTCGTTTCCCCATTCTGCTTTACAGAGGTGTGTGATTCATCCATTATTCAATGTTCAAGGTCGTAAGGACAACTGGGATCCTCTCCTTTCACCCCTCCCCGGCTGGGCGCACAAGCCAGGTTGTATCGAGCACCCCAGCCCCCGATACCTGTGTGTGAGCGGCCAAGATCCCCCCGAACCCAGCCCAGCTTTTATCCGCCCGTGCCGCGGGGCTGTCACTGTCAGTCCTGCTGCGGGCGAGCTCTCGGCCCCTGTCCCCACGCAGCAGTGATCTCTGCAGGGTCACTGATGGCCAGAGCCCTGCCAGGCGGAGCAGGGAGCCGGGCAGGGCTGGGTGCCGGTGCCGGGCTGGCAGGGGCGCTGCTCCAGCCAGAGCCCCGCGGCCCCCGCCTGCCGCCTGCGCTGCTTTTAATAAAGCTGCTGCTTTTGCAGAAAGGCATTTCTCTTGGAGATGCTTCCCAAGCAGAGTGGGAGGGTGGCAACGTCTCGCAAAGAGCGGTGACCTCTCCCTTGTTTGTGTGCTCCGGCCGGGGCGAGGGGCGCGCTCGGAGGCGCTGGCTGAGCCCGCCCGTCCTGCGAGGGGCACAGCGACCAGCCCGGCCCCCCCTGTCACACAGGGACACCGTGTGTGCTTGCACAGCCATCTCACGAGGGATGCCGAAGCACCCTGCCAGCCTCCAGAGCGCTCGTTCCTCTCCTCAGCCCCAGCTTTTGTTCTTAGCAGGAACCGTGAGTGCCGCTAAGAGTGCCAGACGAGGAGGAGCAATCCCACCCCGGGATACGAAAGCAGGCACCAGGCGTAATCCCAGCCAGGCACCCAAACACCGGCACCTACACGATGCTCAGCTGCCCTGGGTGATCTCCTCTCACCCCTTTGGGTTAGCAGGGTGCTACACTCCCCTCAGACTCCTACATCCTTCCCACAAGCCAGCACCTGAGTATTTTCAAGCCGTGGGACCCTTTGCCTACACCCATCCAGGCACAATAATGGAGGCCAGGGAGCTCCTGCAGCAATGCCACGTCCAGAACCCTTCACTCAGCCCTGCAGCTCCCTGGCAGCCTCCCACCTTGCAGCCACCAAGGTGCTGTCCCAACTCTCCATCCCCATGTCACACCCCTCACCATCCTTCCTCCCCCCCAGCACCGGTACAGACCTTCCCTCTGCCCCTCTGCTGCTCCTCGGTGTGATGAAGGCAAACCAGTCCTAGCCAGGCAGGGAAAGGAGCTTTTCTCTTGAGCCACACTGTTTATTATTCTAAAGGAGGAATTTGGCTGGGAGAGGAGACAGGAGGTCGGCTGGCTCGCAGGGCAGCGGTGCTGGCTGGGTGACACAGCCCCACACCACATTCAGCCCCACATCCCCGTGGGGTGGCTTTGCTCCCCAGGGGCTCAGGTCCCAGGGGGGACTCAGGTCCCCGGGGCCACGCTGGGGTTTGGCCAAGTGCCATGTGGGAGGCTGGTCCTCGACAGCTGGCACGTCCCTGCTCGCCCCCACGCTACGCCCAGCCAGGCCAGAGCCGGGCACTGAGGGACTGAGAGTGTCTGGGAGGGTTTGGAGTCCAAACAAGACACAGATACAGGCAACTGTCCCTGACTGGTGACACAGACACTGCCTGTCCTTATCTCCCCTCTGTAATCACACCAGCCTGGCAGAGCAGAGAGCCGAGATTGCAGCGGAGATGAGGAGAGCTGAGCCAACCCTGGGGCTGCTGGCTTTCCCAGCTGGCAAAGGAAAATGTTTGAGGGCTGGCTGAGGTCAGGCACCGCTGGAATCCTCTTTGAGCATCTCTAGCCTTGAGCTCTTGAGGGGGCTTCTGGGGGATGGAATAAAAGTGGCCACCCCAAATCCCCGAGCACTGAGCACAGGGCTCTGATGGCCTGTGATCCCACAGCCAGGACACGGGCCAGAGGGCCAGAGCAGGAGTCAAACAGCACGGCCAGGGCCACGGCTGCGCCAGCACCGGGATTCAAGTCTCATGATTCCCCATCTCATGACTACACAGCCTTTCCAGAGCAGCCTGCTCCCATTTCTCCTGCATCCCAAGTCTGATGACAGCTGAACTTTCTCCTGCACCTCCTCTCCCACTCCCTCGCTCGAGCGGCCGGGGGCTGATGCCTCTGTGGCTGATGAACTTGGACAGGAATTTCTGCAGCTGGAGCAGGGCAACGCCCAGGACTTCGGGTACAAGGAAGAGCTGTATCCAGCCTCTGCTGGGGATGGTACCATCTTCATTTAGGGAGCCATCTCTACTATTCCTTGCACCTCAGAGTGCCCTGCTAAGCAGCTCAAGCATCACCAAACCCTACTGATTCATTAATGTTCCCCCACTCCAGACCTCTCTTGTTTAAGAATGCTCGTAAGCCTAAGATGCCTTTGCTAATGCCCAAAATATGCTGTGTGGGTTCAGTCTTCACTGTTCTTGGGTAACAAGGCAAGAATTTCCTCTGACTTTGCTGTGTGCCCTGCCATACTCTGAGCCCCCTTCCCTCTGCACTTGCTCCCTGTGTGTCTCCCAACATCCTGGCACAACACACAGGGCAGCCACTGCTGGCACGGACACTGCATGGCACTGCCCATCCCCAAGGATCATGTGGGACAGGGCCATTTCCAGCCCTGTAAACATCATAAACTATGGGACAGGATGGGTTAGGAACACCAAGGATGTCCTCCCAGTCCACTGCCCTCCTCCCAGCCTGCCTAGACCATGTTTCTTGCCTCTCCATAACGAGTGCCCTGTGCATAACCAGTGTGTGTGGGGTCCCACAAGCACCCCCAGAGCTGTGGGAGCTGAGAACCAGCCTGCAGAGCTGGTGCACAGGGAAGGGGATGGCTCAGCATGCTGGGGACTGGGAGAGCAGCCACAGCCACCCTAGCAGGAGCTCTGGTCCCAACAGACCATTAGGCACCAGCAAGAGGATGCAGTGTTTGCTGGAAGTCAGGGTGCTGAGCCACCTCTCAGCAAACTCTGGTTTGTATTTCCAGGGGCAATTCCTGCATCCATTGCCCACATTGCTCTTATCTCTGGCCGTGCTCTCCTTGCCCTCATCGCTGCTCCTGTGGTGTTGGGCAGAGGTGCTGGATGCTGGCTCAGCCCATGGGGACATCTCATCTGACTGGGATGGAGCTCTCACACAGCTGCCAATCCTTTCCCTTCCTCTGGATTTCTATTTCTAGCCCCTTTCCTTGCAGGGCTGTGCTTCCAGGCGCTCCCACAATGCTTGATGGCCCCGCCGCCCTGCCAAGCAGGCAAGGGACATCTGGTGCAAATTAGCGGGAAGTCAAATATACTTTATTTCTTCTTTGTCTAAGCACATCTGAGTCATTAAGTGAGATCATGGGTGCCCATATGCAATAGAAAATTCCCTGTATGGATCCTGTGATCAATACTGCTCACGGCCAGGGAGCAAAGGCATTCCTGGCAGGGGGATGGGGACACCATCCCCTGCTTTTGAAGGCAAAAGGCTCCCTGAACAAAGGCTGGTGACCCCTGAAACCCAAACCTTGCTTGTCCAGCAGTGA